ATATGTTTAAAAAAAAACAAAAGCTCTAAATGAAATTATAGCAAATCAAATTCATCAATATACTTATAATAGCCACAAAAACCATGTTTCTATGAATAAATCCAACAAAAGTTATACAAGACCTTTACAGAGAATATATAAAACTTTATTAAAAGACATAAAAGAGGATCTAAATAAATGAAGACATATATACTGTTCATGGAACAAAAGATTTAACATCATAAATATATCAGTTCTCCCCCAAATTAATCTATAAATTCAATGCAATTACAGTCAAAATTCCAAAAGGGTTATGTGAGGGCATGGGTGTGGGTATGTGTGTGCACGTGCACATGTGTGTACGTTAACTAAATAAGATGACTCTAAAATTCATATAGAAGAGCAAACAGCCAAGAATAGCACTGACACTGTTAAAGATGAAGAAAGTAAGACCAGATATCGAAGATGTATTCTAAAGTGATAGTAATTAAGACATGTGGACATGATACATAATAGACAACAACCAATGTAATAGAATAAAAAGACCAGAAACACACCTATACACAAATGGAAACTTAATATATGACAGAGGTAAGCATTTCAAATCTGTGGGAAAAGGAGAGACCAGTCAGTAAATGGTGATAGAACAACTGACTATATGGAAAAAAATGAAATTGGACCTCTATTTCACATCCTACACAAACATCAATTACAGATGAATTAAAGAAGTAAATGCAAAATATAAAAATTTTTAAATGAGATATAGATTAATATCTTTATGCCCCAAGGAAAAACTTCTCAAGATGTTAAAAAGACATCAGTAAAACAAAAAGATGGACAGACACGACTACATTAAAATTTAAAACTTCTGCACGATGACAAAAAACACCTAAAAATGAATTTAAAAATAAGCAACAAGTTGGTAAAACACATTTGCAATGCATATAACCAACATGAGATTAATATCCAGAATTTAGAAAGAATGCCTACAAGCCATTAAGAAAAAGAACTAATCCAGCTGAGAAACAGGTGAAAGACATGACTAGGTAACTCTCAGAAAATGAATATCCAAATGGCCAACAAATATATGAAGATACTCAGACTCACTAGTAATGATGAATATAATTAAATTAAATTAAAACAACAGGGCAATATTTCTGACCCATGAGTTTGGAAAATATTAAAATATTAGAAGACTACAGTATCCAGTATTGGAAAGGAAATACATTTCTAGAATGACACTAAATTGGTGCAATCACTTTGGAGAACAATTTGGAATACCTAATTAAAATTAGCTATTTGCATACCCTATACCCTATAAGCAACTCCACTGCAAGTAATATACAAGGAGATGTACACAAGAATATTCATCGCAGCATTGTTTTGTATTAGTCACAAAACAAAAATTTTTAAAAACCTAAATGACCATCATCAGGAGAATTCATAAGTAAATTGAATTATATTTATTAAATAGAACTCATACAGTGGCTAAAACGATTGAACTAGAACTACATGCATCAATATCAACAAACCTCAAAAAATAGAAGGTATAGAAAAATGTAATTTAAAAAAAAGATGCAGTGTGCCATTACTTAAATAAGGTCTTAAAACATGAGAAACTATATCATATATTTTAAGAGTATGTAAATAGTAAAACATACAAAGATAAAAATCTGTATAGGAATGATAAATTCAGGATAGTAGTTACTTTTGGCAGGAAGAAGGAAATGGGTTTAAAGAATACACTGAAAACGTCAGCTGTCTATAATATTTTATTTATTTGAAAAAAATCTGAACCAAATATGGCAAAATGTTAAATATGACAAATCTAGAGATGGTATTGTTGTTTGTTATATTATTCTCTTTATTGTTCTGTATGTTTCTGTATGAAGTAGTTCATAACAAGTTAGCCTTATCCCAGGAATGTTTGATGTCAGAAAATCTATTACTATAATTCATTATATAAATAGATCAGATGAAAAAAGCAGTACAGTTTGATAAAATTCTGCATTCTTGATAATATTTCCTGATAAAAGATACCTTTCTTTGTTGCTTTCTTATATATTCCTATCATAACCTTTGCCATACTGCAACTGCCTACTTACTGTTTGCACTCCTCCCACCCCAAACAATGGACTGTTAGCTCTGTAAAGGCAAGCACTAGACCATCCTGTTTACTACTGAATCCTCATTGGCTTCCACATGCCTGCCAAAAAGGATCAATCAATATTTGATTGATAGATAACTTGATTGGTTGGTTAACTGACTGACTAATAATATAAAAGTATATGATCTTACAAAAAGTAACAGATACATGCACTAAAATTAGTGGGTTAACATATGAGTGGTGGATTATGGGGACCTTGGGTAAGTTACTTAACCTCACTATTCAACAATTTCCTCATCTGTGAAATGGGGAAAATAACAGACTTTGCCTCTAAAATCTTGTGAGGATTAAAGGAGGTAATATATGTGAAGTACTTAGAAGAGTGCTAGCAAACTGGTGCTCGATAATTATAAGCTACTATTCACGTTTTCCTAAAGTTTCCACAGTTGTCACTTTTATAATGAAAAAGGTTTTAAAGTAAATAAAAAATAACTTTAAAATGTATATACATATATAAGGGCTGACCTTTCAAGAATCTTCACTGCCTCTTTTTCAGAAATATATATACCTATTAAGTTGAGAGCACTGATAATTTCTGAAGTACCAATCACTCCTTTAAAGGAATAAAGAAAATAACGATTAACTGGAAGGTGTGAAAAGATGCAGAGGCAAATAGTCAGGCAACATTTAGTGCATTATTGCAACATTCCATAAAACATCAATATCTCAATTTTTTCTTTACTTGCCAAGATAAAAAGAAGAGATTGGAGAGCCCATATGATATTTCCTGTATCAAAAAACAATACTATCACCCTCCAACACTGCTCAAACCAGTTATTCTTGCCTCTTTCCTTTCCCTCACCCTGAACATTCAATCAAATGTTATCTGTGCTATTCCTAAATATCTCCCAAATCTTTTATTCCTGTCACCACAGTCCCCTCTTAGCTCAGATGCCAATCCATGCTCCACAAAAATATCATAGTGTTATTCCCCTACTGAAAACTCTTCAGTGGCTTCCCACCTCATTCCCCTTTAGGATCCAGTCCAAAAACCTTCACAGGCCTCAAGGCCCTCCATGATGTTGCCTGTGCCATCTTCCTATCCTCATCTCTGACACTTCCCCTTGCTCTCAGTTTAAGACTCACTGGTCTTCCTCCATTTCCTCAGACACAACCTGCTCCCTGGGGAGACCACAGCCTCTCAATAAGCTATTGGCTCTGCTTGGTACACTCTTCCCCATTCTTCGCTTAGCTAACTTTTACTCATCTTTCAGATGAGTAAAAGATCTTTTCAGCTTAACCACTACTGCCACTTGGAGCTTCAGGTAAAAAGCTTATCAAAATGTTATAAATATCCCTCAGACCCTTAGCTAAAAAGCATATTGTTAAGAGAGTACAGCTTTTTTTGTTGGTGGTTTTTATTTTTGAAAGACAGTATGTAACTAAAAACTACATCATTTAAAAACATACCTTAGAAGTAATAACAGTAAAATCCAGTGACAGAATTAAATAAATGAGTTTTTTGGGGCCGGCCCCCTGGCTTAGCGGTTAAGTACGCGCACTCCGCTACTGGCGGCCCGGTCTCAGATCCAGCAGCGCACTGACGCACCACTTGTCCGGCCATGCTGAGGCAGCGTCCCACACACAGCAACTAGAAGGATGTGCAACTATGACATACAACTATCTACTGGGGCTTTGGGGAGAAAAAGAAAAAAAAAAAAAAAAGGAAGAGGATTGGCAATAGATATTAGCTCAGGGCCGGTCTTCCTCAGCAAAAAGAAGAGGATTGGCATGGATGTTAGCTCAGGGCTGATCTTCCTCACAAAAAAAATAAAATAAATAAAAATAAATAAATAAAAAATAAATGAGTTTTTAATAACCTTTCCGGGAAGACAAATATCTAATAATAAAATTTTACTAGGCATAGTTAATTCTGGGATATATATATTTGAAAACTGTATAAAAACAAACCATCATTATCTGTGTCCAAACTCTTAAAAGTCAACTTCATTTTTTTCTCATTATCTTTAAGGTACTGCATAAATGTGCCAAGGTTCAGCAGATTATGTGTGTTGATATCAATAGATTTTAAAATTATCTATAAGAGAGAAAAAATGATATTAGAGACACAGATTCAGACAAGCTAGATTACAAATTATAGTGTTTAAACATTTAAACTGTCAGGGAGAAGGAAAATCCCCTTTCTTCCCTTCTCGTGTTCTTATGGCTGGACTAATAGTAAAATTGACACAAGACCAGATTAACTGAGGAAAAATTCGGTCCAATACATACATGTTAGAGATCATAAAGAAATGATGCTCAGAGAGTGAACAAAGAAACTTAGGTTTGGGGTACATAATGAGTGAGGAATTTAAGCAGAGTGTAGGCTTGAGGTAGTAAATTAGCAAGGTTTGTTTACACAGGCTTCTCAGCCCTGAATCCCCTAGCTCTGGTGATAAGGATACAGGGGGAGCACCTTTCACAGGGGAGATTTATTTCCTGCTTTCAGAGGAAACGGAGACAGGAGGGTCAGAACGCCCTTTTTGCTTCTAACTTTAATACAAAATAATCAATATGCTATTGTGAGATATTTTGGGGTGGCCTTCCCTGGGCCCCAACAGTACATTTATCTCATGTACATTAGATATTCTGCCATAGATTATCGGTACCTTAGTTTTAGAGTAAAATTTCTAACACTAAAAACATAGAATCTTTGAGTATTAGAACTTTAAAGAACTTGAGCATTTGGCTAGTCTGCTCTTCTACTCAATAGTCATGCATTTACTCATTCACTCAGTAAATGTGGAAGGAACTGCTCTAAATGCTTGAGAAACGAATGAATCAGCATAGTCCCCGCCCTAGAGAAGCTTAGACTAATAGGGAAGATACCAAAGCCACTCTGATAGAAGATGTTCAAGGCTCAGTGGGGAACAAAGATGTGAATGCTCCGAAGGAGGGAAGGGGATGAGGGAAATCTGCCTAGAAGTGACTCAAGTTGAGTATTTTAAAAATGAATAGCAAAAGGTGAGCAAAGAAACAAGGGTATGAGGGATGTAGGAGAGACCACTAGCTGTCCACCAAAATTCCTTCTTGTCTTCTTTGGGCACACAGCTAGATTACATTTCCCAGTTTCCCTTTGCAGTTAAGCACGGTCATGTGACCAAGATCTCTCCAACAAAATATGAGTGAAAGTAATGTGTACTACTTCGAGGCCTAGCTAATAAATTCCTGTTACATATATTCCTTCATGCTCATTCCATTTTCACCAGCTGAATGCAAATGATGATGAGAGCCTTGAGAATGGTAGAGCCACAAGAGGAAGGGAACCTGGATCTCCAAATAACTGCAAGGTGGAGACCTGCCCCACCAACCTCAACACCTACCAAGAAATCATGGAGAGCCATTTATACCACGCTAAGAGCCTTGGACTTTTCCCACCGACATTGTCAAGCCCCTGAAAAATTTTAAGCAGGGTCATGATACAATCAGATGTACCTTTTAGAAGGGTCATATGATGGCAGTGTGGAGGAAGAAATAGTGAGAGGAAGGGCAGGAAGACTGGTTCTAAGACTGTTACAGTAACTTAAGTGAGAGATGGTGGGGGCCTGGGCTTATCAGGAGCAGGGGGTATGGAGAGGAAGGGAACTGGTTATGACATATATTAAGGAATTACACAGACCCTGTGATTAACTGGATGTTGGAGTAAAGAAAAAGGAGGAATCTAGAGTGACTTGGTGGTGGAACACTTAACGAAGACTGTGATCACAAAGGAAGTGGAGAGACTCAGAAGCTGGGGATAGCTGTTGATTTGTGAGTCACCCACACTAAGATGATAGTTGGAGCCTTGAAAAGTAATCTTGGTGCTCATTCACATTTGAGGAGTGAGCCAAAAAAAAGTCCATAAAGGGATCTGTAAAGCAACAGTCAGAGAGCTGGTAGAGTGCCAAGGGAGGGGATATGGGAGTCATCATCAGTGTTCCATGCTGCAAAAAGGCCAAAGGAATAACTGGAAAGAGCCCACAGGTGCAGCAATGCAGAAGTCTTTAGTGACCTTTCACAGAGAAGAAGGGAAGCGGAAGCTTCATCACAGACAATGGAAGAGTGAGAGAAGTCAACGCAGAATGTGTAGACTTAGCTCTGTCAAAGGCCTTGACTGCACAGAGAGGAGATGACAGGACAATATCTAGATGGGGGACCAGGGCCGCAGAAGGATCACTATTATTAGAGAGGAAGAGTTTGAAAACACAAGACAAAGAAAGGGAATAACAGAAGTTGTACTTTTCCTATTTTAAAGGAGATGAGAGGACATGAGGTCAACAATGTAACTGGAAGAACCAACTTTGAAAACGAGAAGAAACACGTCATTCCTTCAGACTGGAGGAAAGAAAGTGAGGATGGGTGTAAACAAAAGTAAGATTATAGTCAGTGTATTAAATTTATTGAGGCTTACTGCTTTAAGCTCGGTAAACAATTTTAAGTATTTTTCATTTATTTGCTCACTAATCATTATAACAATCCTATGAGATAGGTACAATTATCATCCCCATTTTACAGCTGAGGAAACTTTATGAGAGGGCCAGAAATCTGAAGGAGTTCAATGCAGTTCACCTCTATTTACTCATTGAAGTGAAGGCTATGTTCAGCCACTGGAAGGGAGGAGCAAGGAATGATAGGGGCTTGTGGTTGGGATAAGTCAGGGTTTCTCAACCTCAACACTATTTACATTTGGGACCAGATAATTCTTTGTCATCCTGTGTATTGTATTAGCAGCATCCCCGGCCTTCACTCACGAGATGCTGGTATCACACACACATCCCCCACTGTCACAACCATCAAAAATGTCAGAAATAGGCCGGCCCCATGGCTTAGCGGTTAAGTGCGCGCGCTCTGATGCTGGCGGCCCGGGGTTCGGATCCCGGGAGCGCCCCGAGGCACCACTTCTCCGTCCAACGCGAGGCCGAGTCCCACGTACAGCAACTAGAAGGATGTGAACCTATGACATACAACTATCTACTGGGGCTTTGGGGGGAAAAAACTGAATAAATAAAATCTTTAAAAAAAAAAAAAAAAAAAATGTCAGAAATGCCAAATGTCCCTGAGGGGCAAAATTACATCTGGCTGAGAACCACTGGAATAAATGGAATGAAAACAGAGCTGACTCTGGACAGTGATGAAGCAGAGGACCCAGCTCTTTATTGAGAAGAGAAATGGAATAATAAGATTCTGGGACTACATTCAGAAGGAAAGCATAATATCATCAGTTTGTTTTCTGTATTACGCAAAGTGAATGCAGCAAAAAGCCTTGGACACACAATCCAGTGAAATCAATACATGTTGTATATAATTAAGACTGCCATCGGTGGTTGAGTAAGCCTCAGGGAACAAGTCATCAAATTCCATAAGAAAAATATGACATAGCATTATCCAAGGTAGGTAGTTATCCCCCCATTTCTTTGGCATGCACTTTATAAATCCTAAGAATTATGGACTTAACACCAAATGTTACTGTGCTGATTGTATGTTTTTCTGGACTCAGTGTTCTGAGGCTCACATCCATTATTCAATTCAAGCCTACCAGATAGAAACTTATTAAATATTATTTTCTCTTACTGAATTTAATTCAATCTCCTCACAAGAAAAAGATTTCTACAAAACCTAGTGTCCCTTTCCCCTTTTCAAACACATGTGTCCGCATGCTCCCATGCTGCAGCTGGGTCTGATAGTCTCCTAGAGAAGCTTAAAGTAAAACAGACTTATTTTTTTACTCTGGTGGGTCAGCTGGTTAAATATACAGCTGTGGAAGTGAGGACCCTCTGAAAATACAACAGTGAGTATTAATATGGTCATTTGTTAAGGTTAATGATTATTCCTCACTATAGCGTATGGTATAATGTTATAGTATAGTATAGATATTTCGGTAGTGTTAGGTTAAACTGAAAATATGGAGTTGTAATTAGTGTGTTAGTATCAGATCATGGCCTTCTCTCCGCATCAGGAGTAGCAAGTGCACACACAGGAAAGCCCCAAATTGCCCTGGGGCGGGACCACTCGCCCTGAGGGGGAGCATTCTGGAGTAAGCTGCCGTGCAGGCTGCATTTCCCAAGCTCTGGGACGCCCTTGGGGGAGAGCTCAGGATGAGCTATCACTGGCCGTGACGGCAGACCCTTGGAGCTCCCAAGATCTAACCGAATTTGGGCGCAGGCCATAGACTCACTGGGGGCCTTTCGTGACCCTTGCAATAATACAGGCAGACCTTTTACGCGTGTTGATGGCTTGGGCCCCACTTAGGGAAGATGGTCAAGTTTTCAGAATGTTTCACCGTGTGAACAGGACACAGACGTGTGGAAAGTGTTCCAACAGTGCGTAATTTTGAGTGAAGCAGCTCACAAGGAAAGAATCTCTGAGCGCTGAGGGGAGCTCGGGAAGGGCTGAGGGGGTCTTCTTCACCCCCACCCCGGTACCGCTCTGGCGGGGCCTCCAGCCTCGCACTCTCCCCACGGCCTGAACGCACCGTGGCCCACCTCCTCGTCCTGGCCTAGAAGGATGCCCATAGCTTCCAGTCCTCTCTGCAGTTCCATGATGTCCACCATCCCGTCCCCATGGTGGTCCAGCTTCTGGAAAAGCTCTTCGAAAAGGCGGTCGGATTCGTACTCCTGGCCAGCCCGGGTGGGCTGTAGGAAGCCCCATATCCGGCGCAGCATGCTCACGAAGCGCCAAGGGACCCTGAAAAGCGGGGAAGCCCCGCCTGCCGGCGAGCTGCAGCCGCCGGTACCGGCCGCCAGGGAGCCTCGGAGGGAGCGGCGCTGCCCCGGCGGAGCAACTGCCCCTGGAACGCGCGGGCTCCCAAGCCGCTGAGTTCCCGGCCAGCCGGCGAGGAGGGTCCCCGCCTGTTGGGCAACAGCCAGCCCTGGTTCCGGATTTGCTTCTGCCAGTCTTGGCTGCGGGCTTAGCTGCTTGAGAGTGCGTTTTTTTTTTTTTTTCAGGTTAATGTTTGGCTGGGGATTCCCAGACAGCACAGTCTTAATTCAAACTCCAAACTGGCTGAGGATAGTCTCGTGGTTATGAATTTTTAGGGGAGATTTATTTTAGTTTTGTGCCCAGAGCCAAGGTTGGTGGAGATTAGCCTCCATGGGGCTGTCCTGGGCCGGTTCTCTCTTCCCCTTAGTAGGCCAAGGCTTTATCTCCCATTCCTGTGGGGATGTTGAAATCCAAACCCTTTAGTAATCAAAGGAGAAAATATGAGGATTTCTTTTTATAATTATAAAAATAAGGGGAAAAAATGAGCTTTCTAATATTTAACATGAATTGACAATTGCTCGTATATATAATATTTAAATGTGTACGCAAACTGAGAGTGCATGAACAAAGAAATTTGGAGCCCATTGCACCTTGCGTAGTGGGAGTGATCACCTGGTCAGTGGGCTAGAGGAAAAATTTTGTGAGAAATTCAGGAGTCTGTAATCAGCAGCATCCAGGGAAAGCCACCAGAAGCACTGCTCAAGCCAAAAGAACAGACCAGCCACAGCAGGGGAGCAATGGAGACCATCACTGAACACATAGAGAAAGAACCAGCTGATGCCAACCAGCCTGCTCTAAGGGTCTGTGCAGGCAGTTTATCTCTTAGCCCCAATGCTGCAGCTGGTAAGTGAGCCACATCCGGATGCTCTGTTAGGGAAAGATTTAGTGAGGAAAACTTTTTATCCAAAAGGAAGTAAATATGATCTAAAGGGGCTAATTCAGTTTCTAGACAGACAGACTAAGCTTTAAAGCAAAGTAGATATTTGGTTAACTTTTTTTCTTTTCTTTTCTTTTCTTTTTTTTTTTTGCCATTATGCAACAGATGGGGCTCAGGAGAAAGACTAGTTCAACCAAATAAAGTACATTTTCTGCACATACCTGAATTTTAGTTTGAGCTGAGATTTAGGAGCCTTTGTCCCATTAGTATTATTCTGGACCCATATTTTTAAACCCTCTCTCTGTGAACTGATCCTGCTGGTGGTTTCTTTATGACCTCTACCAGTGTTGGGGCAACAAGACTGAGGGTGAAAGCCAGCACCTAAGGATGGCAGGGCAGAAGGATGGAAATTCTTGGTTGCATCACTGAGCCAGTAAACCAATCCTGGAACCAGCTTGTACTGGACCTCTTTGGACAGGAAATAAACTAAACCTCTGTTATTCAGGGTACTTTTTGTTGGGTATGCTTTCACAGCTGAAAATATCATAACTTATAGAAAAATCATAACTCATAGGATAACTACAAACTGAGGTAAGTGCAATTCTCCTTCATTACACTCATCTCCGTTTGTAATTATTCTATGAGAACATAACAGGGACCTTAATATATTGGGAAATGAGGGAAGGCCTCCTGAGGTTTAGGTAATATTTAATCTAAGAACTGAAAGATAAGTAGGAGTTGGCCAGTGAAGAATGAGGAAAATAGCATTCCTTGCACTTTTAACATTCCTGAGAAGATAAAGTACTTGAAAAGTTCAAAGAACTAAAGGAAAGCCACTGTTACTGGAGCATAATGAACAACAGAAAGAGTGGCACAAACTGAGATTAAAAACACAGGCCATGTTAAAAATCCTGCTTTTATCCCAAGAGCAACATAGAGCTATATCAGTCAGGATGAACTGGTTATGCTGTGAAAACAAACAACTCCAGAATCTTGGTGATGTACAAGGGTGACTATCTCATTTGTACATATACCCATCGTAGGTCAGCAGTGGGCTCTGCTCCTGGGATGTCATTGCCCTTACTCTGGGACTGAGGCAGCCACTATCTGGAGCATCATTGGTAGCCATGGCAAAAAAGGTAAAAGAGAAAATGGAGAAGCACGCAGTGGCTCTTCAAGTTTCCGCTTCTGGGTGACATATTCAATTTCTGTGTATGTTTCATTGGCCAAAGCAAGTGACGTGCTCTCCTGACTTCACGTTCTCTTACAGGGAAGGATGCTGAATATTGGTGGACAGTATTACAGTCCAACCCAGGAACTATTTAAGAGTTTTTGGCAGCAGAATAACATGACTTAATTCACAGTGTAAAATATCCCTCTAGCTGTTATCAGTGCAGTGAGATCAATTATGAGATTCTTGGAGCTGTCAGCTTGAACTAGGGTGGCAGCAGTGGAGAAGGAGAGAAGCAGACAGATCATGATATATTTTAGAGGTAGAATTGAAAGAACTTCATGAAGGATTGGATTGAGTATATGAGAGAATGATATCAGCCACAGGCTGAATGTGTCCTCCCAAAATTCATATGTTGAAATCCTACCCCACAATGTGATGGTGTTAGGAGGTGGGGCTTTGAGGAGGTGATTAGGTCATGAAGGGAAGCCTCATGAGTGGGATTAGTGCTGTTATAAAAAGAGACCCCAAAGAGCTCCCTCACACCTTCCACCATGTGTGGACACGGCAAGAAGACAGCATCTATGAACCAGGAAGCGGGCCCTCACCAGACATGGAATCTGCCAGTGCCTTAGATCTTAGACTTCCCAGCCTCCAGACTGTGAGCAATGAATTTCTGTGGTTTATAAGGCACCCAGTCTATGGTATTCTGTTATAGCAGCATGAACAGACTAAGACAGTACCAAAAATAACTTTTAGGTTTCTGGCATGAGACACCATGTAGATGGAGTTGCCAATCTCTGAGGTGGAGGAGATTGATTGGGGATAAGATCAAGAGTTCATTTTTAGACATAAGTTAAAGATGCCTGTGAGTCAAGCAAGTGGCAAAATTGCATGCACAGCTCAGAGAAGAGATCTGGGCTAGAAATATAAATTTTCAAGTCATTGGCATACAGATAGCTTTAAAGCTATAGGAGAGAACAACATCACTTAAAAAGTATGGAGTAAGAAGAAGGCCCTAGACCAAGCTCTGGAAAATCTAAAATGTAGATGTCAAATGCAGGCAACAGAGCCAGCATGGCATAGTGTTAAAGAGCTCAGGCTCAAATTCAAGCTTCCTGCATTGAATAATCTTGAGCAAGTTACATAATTTCTCTGAGCCTCAGTTTCCTCATCAGTACTGGTTATCTCAATAGTCTGTTGTGAAGATTAAATAGAAAAAATACTCAACATAGGGGCTGACACATAGAAAGCGCTTCATAAATGATGGTTATTGTTATTTTTATTTTTATTAAAGGAGACTGAGAAAGAGCCTTAAGAGAAGTAGGAGAAAACAGGAAAGTTTATTATTAAAGAAACCATGAGAAGAGCCTGTTTTTAGAAAAAGAGAACTGACAAAAGTGACAAATGCTACTGAAAGATTAAGTAAAATTAAAAGCTAGGACTAAAAAGTGTCTTTTGGATTTGGCAAGAAATGCCTCAGCATTTTTGGTGAATTGGTGGGGCAGAAACCAGATTGGGGAGAGTTAAATACTGAATAGGTCCCTACCTCCTACTATGCATAAAAGGTAGAGACGTAAATGTAAAATGTTAAACCTTACAATGTTATGAAGAAAATCTAAGAGAATACTTCTGTGATCTCAGTATAGAAAAGGAGGTCCAAAACAAGACATAAAAAGCATAAGCCAAAAAGTACAAAGTTTGATAAAACTGAAAACATCTGTGTATCAAAATACATCATTAAAAGATGAAAAAGAAGAATCACAGATACAAAGAAAATATAATCTTACAACCAACAAAAAATAGTATTCAGAACACGTAAGGAATGCCGTAAATCAATAAGAAAAAGACAAATGATCAAATAGGCAAATAATATTAACAGGAATTTGACCAGGGCCTACAATCTATTAATATTTCCACATTATCACTGTCCTCACCTCATCATCATGTCCTCATTTCTCTTTTTACTTCCACTTAGACTGCATATCCATCATCTTAACCAGTACCTTCCATATCCCTTTATACCTTTGCTCCCTCTTTCTTTGCCTTATCCATTTGGCAAAACCATAACCTTGAGTAAATCCAACTCATCATGTTCTTTGCAACTTCACTCTATTGGCTACGGCAGCCGTAGATGCTCTTCCTCCAATGCAACCAAAAAATGGGTGCAAATTCCGTTGAGAGAATTTGTAGATACAATGGTGAAAGATGAAGTGGGCACATTCAATGGCTTCCAATATACCAACCTCTACTCTACTATGACGTGCAACTTATTCTAGTCTACCCTCTCAATCTGCACCTATTTATTCCACTTAGTATACACAGCTTATGCATGATACAGCAGTAAGGCAGAGGGAGCCAGGATCCTGGAACTTTCATGTCAGCCCTGGACTATCTATATTTATGTGAAACAGAGATAAAATCAGATCTTCAGCCACCATTATTTTAGGTCTTCTGCCCTCCACAGCTGATCCTAATTCTAACCAATAAAAATCATCAACTAATAATGCACAACTCATCAGAATAACAGGTAACCAGAAAAATGCCCAGACTAAACCACACTCAAAATGACTATGAACATAGGTTTGAAACTGTTAAAATATATGGAAGTTAAAATAACTTTAGCATTTTAAATGAAATCAATGTTAGAAATATCTGTTTTAGTAATTTTATATATAAATCCATATAGTAATGATATTTATGAAACAAAGAACTTTGTAAAATAATAATAAATGAACACTGCTATAATTGCACAAATTGCCCCAACATTTCATTTTTCCACCATTTACTGAGTATATATACTGTGCTAAGGAGTATGCTGGCTACTAGGGATACAAAGATAAGTGAAAGAGTCT